AAAGGGTTGGATAAAGACACCGGTCCATCCAGTTGCACCTGCGCTTTGCCCATGTAGGTTCCTTTTATTAAGTTACATAGTTGGTAAGGGTTGGATAAAGACACTGGTCCATCCAGTTGCACCTGCGCTTTGCCCATGTAGGTTCCTTTTCCTAAGTTACATAGTTGGAAAGGGTTGGATAAAGACACCGGTCCATCCAGTTGCACCTGCGCTTTGCCCATGTAGGTTCCTTTTCCTAAGTTACATAGTTGGAAAGGGTTGGATAAAGACACCGGTCCATCCAGTTGCACCTGCGCTTTGCCCATGTAGGTTCCTTTTATTAAGTTACATAGTTGGAAAGGGTTGGATAAAGACACCGGTCCATCCAGTTGCACCTGCGCTTTGCCCATGTAGGTTCCTTTTATTAAGTTACATAGTTGGTAAGGGTTGGATAAAGACACCGGTCCATCCAGTTGCACCTGCGCTTTGCCCATGTAGGTTCCTTTTATTAAGTTACATAGTTGGTAAGGGTTGGATAAAGACACCGGTCCATCCAGTTGCACCTGCGCTTTGCCCATGTAGGTTCCTTTTCCTAAGTTACATAGTTGGAAAGGGTTGGATAAAGACACCGGTCCATCCAGTTGCACCTGCGCTTTGCCCATGTAGGTTCCTTTTATTAAGTTACATAGTTGGAAAGGGTTGGATAAAGACACCGGTCCATCCAGTTGCACCTGCGCTTTGCCCATGTAGGTTCCTTTTATTAAGTTACATAGTTGGTAAGGGTTGGATAAAGACACTGGTCCATCCAGTTGCACCTGCGCTTTGCCCATGTAGGTTCCTTTTCCTAAGTTACATAGTTGGAAAGGGTTGGATAAAGACACTGGTCCATCCAGTTGCACCTGCGCTTTGCCCATGTAGGTTCCTTTTCCTAAGTTACATAGTTGGAAAGGGTTGGATAAAGACACCGGTCCATCCAGTTGCACCTGCGCTTTGTCCATGTAGGTTCCTTTTATATTAAGTTACATAGTTGGAAAGGGTTGGATAAAGACACCGGTCCATCCAGTTGCACCTGCGCTTTGCCCATGTAGGTTCCTTTTATTAAGTTACATAGTTGGAAAGGGTTGGATAAAGACACCGGTCCATCCAGTTGCACCTGCGCTTTGCCCATGTAGGTTCCTTTTATTAAGTTACATAGTTGGTAAGGGTTGGATAAAGACACCGTTCCATCCAGTTGCACCTGCGCTTTGCCCATGTAGGTTCCTTTTATTAAGTTACATAGTTGGAAAGGGTTGGATAAAGACACCGGTCCATCCAGTTGCACCTGCGCTTTGCCCATGTAGGTTCCTTTTATTAAGTTACATAGTTGGTAAGGGTTGGATAAAGACACCGGTCCATCCAGTTGCACCTGCGCTTTGCCCATGTAGGTTCCTTTTCCTAAGTTACATAGTTGGAAAGGGTTGGATAAAGACACCGGTCCATCCAGTTGCACCTGCGCTTTGCCCATGTAGGTTCCTTTTCCTAAGTTACATAGTTGGAAAGGGTTGGATAAAGACACCGGTCCATCCAGTTGCACCTGCGCTTTGCCCATGTAGGTTCCTTTTATTAAGTTACATAGTTGGTAAGGGTTGGATAAAGACACCGGTCCATCCAGTTGCACCTGCGCTTTGCCCATGTAGGTTCCTTTTATTAAGTTACATAGTTGGTAAGGGTTGGATAAAGACACTGGTCCATCCAGTTGCACCTGCGCTTTGCACATGTAGGTTCCTTTTCCTAAGTTACATAGTTGGAAAGGGTTGGATAAAGACACCGTTCCATCCAGTTGCACCTGCGCTTTGCCCATGTAGGTTCCTTTTATTAAGTTACATAGTTGGAAAGGGTTGGATAAAGACACCGTTCCATCCAGTTGCACCTGCGCTTTGCCCATGTAGGTTCCTTTTATTAAGTTACATAGTTGGAAAGGGTTGGATAAAGACACTGGTCCATCCAGTTGCACCTGCGCTTTGCCCATGTAGGTTCCTTTTATTAAGTTACATAGTTGGAAAGGGTTGGATAAAGACACCGGTCCATCCAGTTGCACCTGCGCTTTGCCCATGTAGGTTCCTTTTTCCTAAGTTACATAGTTGGTAAGGGTTGGATAAAGACACTGGTCCATCCAGTTGCACCTGCGCTTTGCCCATGTAGGTTCCTTTTCCTAAGTTACATAGTTGGTAAGGGTTGGATAAAGACACTGGTCCATCCAGTTGCACCTGCGCTTTGCCCATGTAGGTTCCTTTTCCTAAGTTACATAGTTGGTAAGGGTTGGATAAAGACACTGGTCCATCCAGTTGCACCTGCGCTTTGCCCATGTAGGTTCCTTTTTTAAGTTACATAGTTGGAAAGGGTTGGATAAAGACACCGGTCCATCCAGTTGCACCTGCGCTTTGCCCATGTAGGTTCCTTTAATTAAGTTACATAGTTGGTAAGGGTTGGATAAAGACACCGTTCAATCCAGTTGCACCTGCGCTTTGCCCATGTAGGTTCCTTTTATTAAGTTACATAGTTGGAAAGGGTTGGATAAAAACACCATCCAGTTCAACCTGTGCGGGTGGGTTTATGCCAATAATAATTCCCATATCCCTCTATGTTGTGTTCTCTAAGATGCTCATCAAATAGTTTTTTTTTTTTAATCTTTTGACACCACTGATTGTGGAAGGGAGTTGCACATCCTTACCGCTCTAACAATAAGGGCTGGTTTACACTTGCTTCAAAACGTGGTATTGGACGCATTCTTTTAAAATGCTCTGAATGCCAGTCAAAGCCCCTGTCACTAAATAAAATGGTTACTTTATAGTAACGTTCACATGTTCCGTTTGCTTCAAAAATGATTCCCCGTGTCACTTTCTTGGTGCTTTCAAGCGTCTTCAAAACCTCCATAGCAGTCTATGACAATGCTCACTAACAGCACCTGCAGCATTTGAGGGGCTTTTATTCAGAGTTAGCTGTGCTTTGTTTTGGAGGTATTGCAGGTATGAGATATCCCAGGATGTACTGGGAAACCAACAATCGAACCGCAAAGATGTCATCAGCAATCACTTCATGTGTATATATAGTTACATAGTTATATAGTCTGGTTGAAAAAAGTTCATCCAGTTCAACCATTAAAAAAAAAAGTTATAATCCTACACCCACAGTTGATCCAGAGGAAGGCAAAAAAAAAAAAAAAACCCAGCAAAGAAAAATCCAATTTGCTCCTGCAGGGAAAAAAATTCCTTCCTGATCCCCCGAGAGGCAATCGAATATTCCCGGGATCAACTTTCCCTATAAATATATATTTTGAGAGTGCCTGGTGCAGACGTCACATCTTGTGTGCAGAATGAAGCAGCAGGAAGGTGAGCGGGGTCTGGACCAGAGCAACTAGCAGACCACACACCTGGTGTGCAATATTAGGATGTTATTGTGAAGGTGAGCGAGAGGACTAAGTGACAGAGGATCAGCAGAGCTGGGGGACCAGAGCAGGAGAAACTAGCAAATGTGATGCGCAAAGTGGGAGCAATATAGCAGGGGGTGAGCAGGGGACTGCAAATAGAGACTGATCAGCAAACCAGAGGGTCAGCAGAGCTGGGGTTTACTACGGAGTGGGGATCAGCAGAGCTGGGGGTTACTACTGAGCAAGGGATCAGCAGAGCTGGGGGTTACTACTGAGCGGGGGGGATCAGCAGAGCTGGGGGTTACTACTGAGTGGGGTATCAGCAGAGTTGGGAGTTACTACTGAGCGGGGGATCAGCAGAGCTGGGAGTTACTACTGAGTGGGGGATCAGTAGAGCTGGTTACTACTGAGTGGGGGATCAGTAGAGCTGGTTACTACTGAGCGGGGGATCAGTAGAGCTGGTTACTACTGAGCGGGGGATCAGCAGAGCTGGGGGTTACTACTGAGCAATGGATCAGCAGAGCTGGGGGTTACTACTGAGCGGGGGATCAGCAGAGCTGGGGGTTACTACTGAGCGGGGTATCAGCAGAGCTGGGGGTTACTACTGAGCGGGGGATCAGCAGAGCTGGGGGTGACTACTGAGCAGGGGATAAGCAGAGCTGGGGGTGACTACTGAGCAGGGGATAAGCAGAGCTGGGGGTTACTACTGAGTGGGGATCAGCAGAGCTGGGGGTTACTACTGAGTGGGGATCAGAAGAGCTGGGGGTTACTACTGAGCAGGGATCAGGAGAGCTGGGGGATACTACAGAGCAGGAGATCAGCAGAGCTCAGAGTTACTACTGAGCTGGGATCAGGAGAGCTGGGGGTTACTACTGAGCAGGGATCAGGAGAGTTGGGGGTTACTACTGAGTGGGGATCAGCAGAGCTGGGGGTTACTACTGAGTGGGGATCAGGAGAGCTGGGGGATACTATGGAGCAGTGGATCAGGAGAGCTGGGGGATACTACGGAGCAGTGGATCAGCAGAGCTGGGAGTTACTACTGAGCGGGGATCAGCAGAGCTGGGGGTTACTACTGAGCGGGGATCAGCAGAGCTGGGGGTTACTACTGAGTGGGGATCAGCAGAGCTGGGGGTTACTACTGAGCAGGGGATCAGCAGAGCTGGGGGTTACTACTGAGCAAGGCATTAGCAGAGCTGGGTCTTTCTACTGAGCAGGGGTGGTGGCCTAATCAGTGTTCTGCTGCTCTTTCACTGTTCAGTCAGCAGCCTGGGGGTGGAGACAGGACACCCCTCTATCCTTTCTATGATCTATAACTGTAACACAGAATGTGTTGTCATCTGCCTGGCTGTGCTGTATGGCAGGGCTGTGTAAAGTTCAGAAATGGATGGACTGTAAACAAATCCTATGGCCGGAAAACCAGTATTTCATGAGGATAACTGACCAGTGTTGTAAGTAGTCCTAAGGTCCACGGGTGGTAAGGGTAGCCCGACACAGGGATAGAGCACACATCAGTGACCTCTCCCAAGCATAGCCAGTCTGTGTTTTCTCCAACCAGCCCCCCCCCCTGACTGTTCCGTCATCCCACAGCCTGATATGTGTACGGCCGTATACTTACACCAGCTGTAAAAATTTGAATGTAGATAGTTGTGCCGGCACCATTGTGAACTGATTACCATCCAAGTATCTGCAATGGGAAAAAAAAATTGTCATTATTCAGTATTCATCTAACAGAGAAGAAACTACACATACTGTAACCATGCTAAGATTCGAAGGTAGCGCAGGGCGTGCAAGGCATCCGAGTCCCCATGTGCTTCTGATAATGTTGCTCTACGTGTCTTTGACTGCCAACTCACATCCTCTCTGCACAGAGAATTTCCTTTATGCAATGACTGCCACGGATTAATTTGTTTCTTTTAATCCTTGATTTTGAAGATATATAGATATTGTCAGAGAATAGTTGCAGGAACTCCCCCTTTCTGAGTCACTTCTTGTCTCTGCCCCCTACCCACCTCCGAGCACTGTCCCTTGGTTCCACCCCCTACCCACCTCTGAGCACTATCCCTTGGTTCCACCCCCTACCCACCTCTGAGCACCATCCCTTGGATCCACCCTCTACCCAGCTCCGAGCACCAACCCTTGGTTCTACCCTCTACCCACATCTGAGCACCGTCCCTTGGTTCAACCCCCTACCCACATCTGAGCACCGTCCCTTGGTTCCACCCCCTACCCACCTCTGAGCACCGTCCCTTGGTTCCACCCCCTACCCACCTCTGAGCACCGTCCCTTGGTTCCACCCCCTACCCACCTCTGAGCACCGTCCCTTGGTTCCACCCCCTACCCACCTCTGAGCACCGTCCCTTGCTTCCACCCCCTACCCACCTCTGAGCACCATCCCTTGTTTCCACCCCCTACCCACCTCTGAGCACCGTCCCTTGGTTCCACCCTCTACCCAGCTTTGGAGCACCGTCCCTTGGTTCCACCCCCTACCCACCTCTGAGCACCGTCCCTTGGTTCCACCCCTATGTCCCCATGTGCTTCTGATAATGTTGCTCTACGTGTTTTTGACTGCCAACTCACATCCTCTCTGCACAGAGATTTTCCTTTATGTAATGACTGCCATTAATTTGTTTCTTTTAATCCTTGATTTTCCAGATATATAGATATTGTCAGAGAATAGGTGCAGGAACTCCCCCTTTCTGAGTTACTTCTTGTCTCTGCCCCCTACCCATCTCCGAGCACCGTTCCTTGGTTTCACCCCCTACCCACCTCTGAGCACCATCCCTTGGTTCCACTCCCTACCCAAGTCCAAGCACCATCCCTTGGTTCCACTCCCTACCCACCTCCAACCACCATCCCTTGGTTCCACCCCTACCCACCTCTGAGCACCATCCCTTGGTCTCACCCTCTGACCCGCCTCTGAGCACCATCCCTCTGTTTCACCCCTCCACCCACCTCTGAGCCACCGTCCCCCTTGGTTCCACCCCCTACCCACCTCTGAGCACCATCCCTCGGTCTCACCCCCTTTACCCACCTCTGAGCACCGTCCCTTGGTTCCACCCCCTACCCACCTCTGAGCACCATCCCTCGGTCTCACCCTTTACCCACCTCTGAGCACCGTCCCTTGGTTCCACCCCCTAGCACAGCTCCTCCACGCACCATCCCTCGGTCTCACCCCCTAACCTCCTCCAAGCACCGTCCCTTGGTTCCACTCTCTACCCCACCTCTAAACACCATCCGTTGGTTCCATCCTCTACCCACCTCCAAGCACCGTCTCTTGGTTCCCCCAAGCATTGCACTGATGCCAGTGTATATACAGGGTATAGCTGACCTTTTCTCCATAGACCCTAATGGAGAAGCCACCTACTTGTAAGGGTCTATGAACGTATACTAATTTAATTTTATATATATATATACATCATTAGTCTAAAATAACTGTCACATGACACTAAAATAGGTATAGGTAATTGGCATTGTTGAAAGTATCGGTACTCGTACTCAGGCAATTTGGTTTGTACTGAATGATGGCACACTGGAGACGAGAGCTGTCATTCACAAAGCACACCAGCTACTAATGTCATCTCTCTCCCCAGAACAGCAGATGGTTAGGTCTGGACTCAAATGTCTGCGAGGAACTACAGTAGTAGCTGATGCGTGTTGTGAATGACGGCGCTCATCTCCAGGTCACCTTCGTTTATTACAACACAAGCTGCCAGCTGCTACTCTAGTCCCTCTTCGCTAAATAGATGGCCACTGGGTCTGGGGTCAGTCTTTCCTTTCAGTACAAGGCACATGGTGGAGGAGATCAGAGGAGGCACAGGGCTGCAACATGACACATCAGAGCTGCAGAACGAAGAGGGAGGAGATGGCTTTAATGCTGTAGCTCCCCCATAAAGATGCTCATAAATTGGGCTTTAGCCTGGGGTGGAGCTAGAGCCATTCCAAACCACCAAATGCACTGCACAGACAGAGTTTGTATATAACTGTATTTTCAGTAGTGATACTTCTTGTATTACATGGAGTTTATATAGCCCAAAGGGTTTTGCTGCTGTACAATAGGGGGGGGACAATACTACAAAAAAAAGACAGACAGCGTATAAGAGGGCCCTACTCACGAGCTTGTAGGATGATAAAGGTACAGTTCTTTAAGTGAAATATTGAAACTCCCTGGCATGGGTTTTGAGGGAGCATACTTTGAGGTATGGGGCATGGAATGGGGGAGGACAAGTATGCACAACAAGGAAAAACGGGTAAAATCAGAAGTTTGAAACTCTTATCGGCATACTTTCTGTGGGTTAGTGGCTCGGAGTATTGAAGCTAGAGGGTCAAGATGACAGCCAGGCATCTTTAAAATTAGCAGTATGAAAAGTGTAGCGCCCTCTAGGTAGATAAGATTTTTGTGTTAAGTCAGAGGCTTGTTGGAAGACTGGGATGAGCCAGCCTGGGAGTGAGGCAGAGAGGTCACCTCAGTCAGGCTGGGAGAACGCTACAGATCAGGGCTTCTGGAGTCCTCCAACCCTTCTAGAAACTGCTGGAACTTTCTGGAAGAGGGGTGGAGGAGGGGAAGTGGCCTGAATTTGCATGTTTAGGGGAACCTGGCCACTCCCTGGGCAGGAGGCCTGGCATGGTGACTGAGACAGCCCTTAAATGTGAAAGAGCCTGAACAGCGGGGGAGCTGTTGCTGGAGTCGGGTGGAACATGGACTGAAGGAAGGTGCTGGAGCGTGGAGCCTTGGGGGGGGGCAACCAACAGGCTGGAGTAAACAGAAGGATCTCCACAGTACCAGTCTCCTAGGGAGGACAGCCTGTCAGCAGGGCAGGAGCCAGCCCATTGTAAGGTCTAAAGGAAGCTGCAAAAACCAAGCTACAGGAATAGGACAGTGCGAGTACTTCTACACCCTCTGGGCCACAAAAGGGAGAGGGCGGTCCAGTGCAAGACCCAACTAGTTCTCATCTGGGACTACTTCACAGTAGATTCAGTAGGGTTCACAGTAGGATCTGAGGTAGGATTCACAGTAGGGTCTGAGGAGGTACACCAAAGAAGACTCAGTGCTCCTTACTAAGATTGTTGCTGATTCTGATCCACATTTTTGCTAAAAAAAGTTGTCCTCAAAGTTTCTTGGGCGTCCCATTAACCCCTAGACCCCATCCAAGTTGTTAACCCTTAATAATAACCCCAAACTCAACCTCGAGGACTGTTTTACTTAGAGAAAGTGTGGAAATTGCGTTTTGCCTGGCTGGGCAGAGCTTAGAGGGACCCAGCAAAAACGTAGCGGCCCTCAAGAGGGTAGCGCTACAAAAGTATGTGATGGCAGCCTCCATGTGTTTCAGGAAAGGTTTCCTTTAACTCCTTCCTGCCTCAGAGCACCCTTTAAATAGTTCAGAATGCCTGGGGAGGTGGGAAGGATTGGCGATCATGTGACCACTGTCAAAGTGTCACCACGATCCGGTGCCCGCTGTGTCCTCCGGACACAGTGGAACACCGATCATCGGACAAAACCTCTGTACGAGGTCCCGATCATGTGATCACTGATTGGCCAATCAGTAGTCACATGCAGAGTACTCTGAGGCAAGAATGCAGCCAGAGAGAGGGGAAATGATTGCTTTTACAGCCTTTATGGGTGTAAAAGCAATCAATGTAAAAAAAAAATTTTCTTCACCCGCCACAAGTAGTACAGTGTCACCATGGTGACACTGTACTGCTAGGGTGACAGTATGTAAAAAAAAAAAAAAAAAGATGTAGAAAAAATGTTTAGAAATTATAATTTTTGGTTATAAACTAATTTGGGTTATTTTTTTTTTACTAAAAATATAACGGAATACATTTTGGCCAAGATTTATGATGAAATACTATTTATTTGCTAAATATTATAAGAAAAAACACTTTTTTTCAAAATTTTGGATTTTTAATTTACATAGCAAAAAAAAAAATAAAAATCCCAGCGGTGAATAAATACCACCAAAATAAAGCTTTATCTGTCTCAAAAAAAATGCTAAAAAATTTATATAGGTACAGTGTTGCATGACCGCGCAATTGTCATTCAAAGTCTGAAAGCTGAAAATTGGCCTGGGGGGGGGGGGGGAAAGGGGGGGTGAAAGTGTCTGAACTGGAAGGGGGTGACAGTGTCCGGAAAGGAAAGGGGTAAAAGTGTCCAGACTGGAAGGGGGTGAAAGTGTCCGGACCGGAAGGGGGGGGCGTCCGGAAAGCGTCCGGGGGACCGGACCGGAAGGGGGGGAAAGCGTCCGTCCGGACCGGAAGGGGGGGGGAAAAGTGTCCGGACCGGAAGGGGGGGAAAGCGTCCGGACCGGAAGGGGGGAAAGCATCCGGACCGGAAGGGGGGAAAAGCGTCCGGACCGGAAGGGGGGGAAAGCGTCCGGACCGGAAGGGGGTGAAAGCGTCCGGACCGGAAAAGGGGGAAAAAGTGTCCGGACTGGGAGGGGGGGAAAGTGTCCAGACTGGACTGGGGGCAGTGTCCGGGGAAGGGGGGGGCAGTGTCCGGACTGGAAGGGGGGGGAAGTGTCCGGACAGGAAGGGGGTGAAAGTGTCCAGACTGGAAGGGGGTGAAAGTGTCCGGACAGGAAGGGGGTGAAAGTGTCCGGACAGGAAGGGGGTGAAAGTGTCCGGACAGGAAGGGGGTGAAAGTGTCCGGCCAGGAAGAAGGGGTGAAAGTGTCCGGACAGGAAGGGGGGGAAAGTGTCCGGACTGGAAGGGGGGGAAAGTGTCCGGACCGGAAGAAGGGGAAAGCGTCCGGACTGGAAGGGGGGGAAAGTGTCCGGACTGGAAGGGGGGGAAGTGTCCGGACTGGAAGGGGGGGGGGGGGGGGGGGGGGAGTGTCTGGACTGGAAGAGGGGTGGAAGTGGTTAAACAATGGAAAAGAGTAATGACTGAAATTTCGCTAGCAGGTTTTAGGGCAGTACAGTGGCTAACACTCCTGCATTCTTGGTTCAAATCCCAACCTGGACGCTACCTGCATGGAGTCTGCATGCTCTCCCACACCCCAAAGACATCATGCTGGTAGATTCATTGGCTCTTTCCTACCTTTACCCTAGAATGTGTGCATCTAAGACTGGAGCCCAAAGCTGCCCATGAACTAGTGGAATTTCATTCAAAATATTTTGTTTTAATAACATTCCTTCCATTTTCTTATCATTAGTAGGGTCAAATCGATGTTCAATTTTTGACTGCAAATTCAAGAAGGATGGCAAAATTTTTGTGGAAACGAACACATTCATAAAAGTGGACGTGGTTTCTCATTCAGGAAAGTCCATTTGTTCCAAAAGCAAAAGGGTAAAAGCAAAGGAAATTTCAAAGTCTTTTGAAATTACATTTGTCAAGTCATCAAATGTACAATTTTTGGACTGAAATTCGAAAAGTACGGTGACAATTTCATTTCCAGGGAAATTTCAAAGTTTTTGGATGAAAGTTTCAAAGTCTAAATTACATTCGTCAAGTCATCAAATGTACGGAGGATTTTTGGATGAAAGTTCGTACTAACGTTCGTTCGCAAACTTTGGGTTTGTAATTTCCTTGAGGGTAGGGATGCATGTGAATGTACAGTATGTGAAGAGCTGTGAAAGTTCTTGCTGCTAAATAAATGCCTTTAATAAATAAATGGTAATAATCAGGGGCGGACTGGCCATTCGGGCACTGCCTGAGGCCCGGGGTCAGTAGGGGGCCCCATGAGATGCCCCTGATACCTTTCATATGCTTTTTTGGGTGTGGTTAGAGTGTTGGCGAGGGCACAGGGGCCCCAAGATTGCCTATTGCCTGTGGGCCCCATGAGTTGTCAGTCCGCCCCTCGTAACTATGTAGCTCTTTTTGGCATGTTATGTATATAATGTATCCAAATGGTAAATTTCCCCGCTCTACAATCTGCTCTTACTCTGGTTTCTATGAGCTCCGTCATAATTCAGAGTGAGGGCACGTCACAATAAAAAGTTATTGAAAAATCAATATTCTAGCAAGCTTTTTGTATCAGTGTGCAGAGTCAGGACAAGGGGTGGGAAGGAGGGGTGATTGCCCTTGGCGCTGTGGGGGGGTTGTGTTCGAAGGTTTGATTTGGAAGGGGGGATTTGTACTAGGAGAGTGGATATCTGTTAAGAAGGGGGGGGTTTGGAGGAGAGGATTTATGCTAATAGGGATGATTGAAGGGATTTGTGCTAGGAGAGTAAACTTGGGGGTGAGAAGTAGTGCTAGGAGAGGGGATTTGGGGGGGGGGGGTTATGCTGGGAGAGGAGGATTTGGAGGGTGGGGAGAGGATTTATGCTCAGAGGGGAAACTTGAGGGGTAGACGAGTTATGCTAGGAGGGGGGCTTTGGGGAGGGGTGAGGATTTGAGCCAGGAGTAGCGATTTGGGGAGGATTTGGGGAGGTGGAGAGGATCTGAGCCAGGAGGGGGGATTTGGGGAGGGAGAGGATCTGAGCCAGGAGTGGGGATTTGGTGAGGAAGAGGATTTGAGCCAGGAGGAGGGATTTGGGGAGGGAGAGGATTTGAGCCAGGAGAAGGGATTTGGGGAAGGAGAGGATCTGAGCCAGGGGGGGGGGGGGATTGGGGAGGGAGAGGATTTGAGCTGGGGGGGGGGATTTGGGGAGGGAGAGGATCTGAGCCAGGAGGGGGGATTTGGGGAGGGAGAGGATTTGAGCTGGGGGGGATTTGGGGGGAGGATTTTGAGCCGGGAGGGGGGATTTGGGAAGGGAGAGATTTGAGCCATTGGGGAGGGAGAGGATTTGGGGGAGGGGGGATTTGGGGAGGAGAGGATCTGAGCCAGGAGGGGGGATTTGGGGAGGGAGAGGATTTGGCCGGGAAGGGAAGAGGGAGAGGATTTGACCCGGGAGGGGGGATTTGGGAAGGGAGAGGATTTGAGCCGGGAGGGGGGATTTGGGGAGGAAGAGGATTTGAGCTGGGAGGGGGGATTTGGGGAGGAAGAGGATTTGAGCTGGGAGGGGGGATTTGGGAAGGGAGGGGATTTGGGGAGGGAGGGAGAGGACTTGTGCCAGGAGGGGGGATTTGGGGAGGGAGAGGACTTGAGCCGGGATGGGGGATTTAGAGAGGGAGAGGATTTGAGCCGGGAGGGGGGCTTTGGGGAGGGAGAGGATTTGTGCCAGGAGGGGGGATTTTGGGAGGGAGAGCTGGGAGGGGGGATTTGGAGAGGGAGAGGATTTGAGCCGGGAGGGGGGATTTGTACTGGAAGAGGGGAAATTTTTGTTTGGGGAGAACTTTGGCTTGCAAAGGGAATTTATTTTTAGGGGTTAAGTGTGAAAATTTATGCTCACTTTTTTTTTCGGGGGGGGGGGGGGGGGGTGAGTTGCTGACAAATAATAATTCGCCCTGGGTGCTAGATGACCTTGTCCCAACACAGTCTATGTGTTGTTATGTATATTAGACAGGTTGATATTTTCCTAACTATCCCCTGTTGCTCCGCCATGCTTAATCAGATTCAAGCATTCGTTTCCAACTGTCATTTTCCCCCTACTGGTGGTTTTTCGGGGGGGGGGGGGGCATAGAACAGATCTTCCTCCAGATGAATGATAAATGGAGCAGATTATATGCAGTAAGAGTAACATTAGAGAGAACACTGGAACTGGATCTCATCTTTCATCCCCCCACATCAGTATGAGAAATGGGCCCCTAGTCCATATCTCTACTTCCTGCTGCCGGGGGAGCCTAGAAAATCAAAGTGAGAGGCTAAAGGGCTCCAAGGAGGATAAGAAATGACCCTTCATAAATCAGACTAAAGGAAAGGCGATTGTTTGGTCTACATGTGTACACTTATGGGAAACCTGTACTGGCAGAAATAGGAAGGTTGCCATTGTTGGTTTCCAACTAAAAAAAAAATGGCAGTTGCTTGGCTGTTTCTGGCTTTAATGCCAAGTCACTGACCTGGAGCGAGTGGCAGCAGCTTAAATATGAACTTTGGGGGCCCCCTCCCCACAGCTAGGTTTAACTACTGGTTTTGTCTAGGGCAGGGTATTGAAGTAAAATTCATGGAGGTCTGGGTCAGAAAAGTTTGTTCCAGCAGAGGTCCTTCACATCACAGCCCCCCCCCCCTCCTAGATCACATTCCCGTTCTTACATTACCTCAGTCCCCCCTGCATATCACAATCCCCCACCTTTAGATCACAGCCCCACTTCACATCACAGTTACCCCTTCACAGTAGTCTTCTGAACCCCCCCTTCACATCATGGCTCCTCCCCTCCCCAACAGTAGAGTCCTCTGCCCTGTACAGATCACCCCTCCCCCACATCAGTGCCCCCCTTCATCCCATCCCCACAGTAGTGTCCTCGTCTCTCCCCTTCACATCACTTCCCCATTCCATCCTTCACAGCCATGTCCTAGCCCATTAGCTCTCCTACTTCCCAGGGACACACAGTAGCACGGAGGGCGGGAGGCACAGCAGCACTGGATGATGGGGGCGGGAGATGCTCGAGCTAACTTTCCATATTAACAAGTTGGTGGTTGGTTTCTAGGACCGCCCTGTGTCCTTGCAACCAATCACCTGTCGGTTAACTTAAAAAGTTAACTTGGGCAGCTCTGGCTCCCACCCTCCGTCCAGCGCTGCTGTGCCTCCCGCCCTCCGCTCTGCTGTGAAAATGACAGTAGGGTGGGGGAAAGAGTCAGCTCCTACGTAGCAACCACTTCCGGATCTGGATATGGGTCCGCACTGCAGTCCGCCATTTAGTGATTCCTGGTCTAGGAGGCGATAAATAAGATGACATACTTACCCTACTCTCAAACGCTTACCCTACAGCAAAAGGGGGAACCAGCTGCTGGGGGATCGAGGAATACGCTAAGCATACCAGCAAAGTTCTGGAGCTACGCACCACTTACAAACGGTAACATCAACTTTATTGTTCAGCACAAGCACAGACACTCCACCCAGGATTTGCTTTCATACATGTTTTACCCCCTAATGGAGCTTAAATATAGAGCACATGTGCTCTATGATTAAGCCCCACTAGGGGGTGGACAAGCTAGAATCAGGATTCAAGTTGGTGTGTCTGTGCTTGTACTGAACAATAAAGTTGATTTTATCCTTTGGAAGTGGCTCTAGAACTTTGCTGTTGTACTTACCTTCTTCTTCGCTCCCCCAGCAGTTGTGCTCTCCTCTGGAATGTGGTTGGGCCTTGGGGTCCCCTCATACAGTGCAGGACTGTTGGTTTGCATTGTACAATATGGCGTCAACTGGAGCTTTGGGGGATCGGTCACAAGAAGAGAAGGAAGCCTACAGGTGGGAGGAATAAGGTAAGTATAAACCCTCTTCATTATTCCCTAGGCAAAATCAGCAGATAACCATTGCAGTGAAGAGGTGGACCCACCACAATGGTCCTGATCTGCATTCTTCTTCTGGAGCGGGACTCAACACTACTGATGGGATTAGCATGACAGCCAGGAAACTAGTGTTTACAGAAGGAAAATTCAGCAACGGTATCCTATATATTTCTACCAGCAGGAGCGGACTGACCATTTGGAAACTCGGGCACTGCCCGAGGGCTTGGGGTCAGTATGGGGCCCCATGAGATGCCCCTGGTACCTTTTTCATAGGCTTTTTTGAGTTTGGGCAAGGACACAGGGGCCCCATGATCCCCTATTGCCCGGGGGCCCCATGAGTTGTCGGTCCGCCCCTGTCTACCAGTGGAAGTTTCCTTTACAGGACGCTTGGAATGATACTTACAGTTCGGTGACATTCTTCGGGATACCCTTTGGCAGTGACAATAGGTGTTTGTTGCTGCAGCGGACAACGGTGTCCAGGCAGGTACATTCCTGAGGACACAGAGGCTGTGGAGCACAACTCAGCTCCTCCTGACCTGTCCAATAAAACACAATATATAGAGACATTAGGGTGTGTGGAAAAACAGGGCATTCTTAGAAACTCTGAAGTTTTTATTGCTGCCCATTTCCTCCCTATGTACTGTAGACTCACCTTGAGTCCAAAAATAAAGATGTCACCACAACAAGAGGGTGGGTCTCACCTGTTCTGGTGAGAACTGTCTTTTTTCTGGAAATTCACATTTTGTAGAGTTTCTCTAATTTCCTGTTGTGTCTCCAGTGTAATGGGACCCATCTCACTATGACCACCATTGTAATGAGTCCCTTCTCCCACTGACCATCATTGTCATGGGACTGTTCTCCCAGTGACCACCAGTGTAATTAGACCCTTCTCCCTCTGAACACCATTGTCATTGGACCCTTCTCCCAGTAACCACCAGTGTAATCGGACCCTTCTCCCATTGACCACCAGTTCAACGGGTCCCTTCTCCCACTGCCCACCAGTGCAATAGGTTCCTTCTCCCACTGACCACCAGTGCAATGGGTCCCTTCATCCACTGACCACCAATGCAATGGGTTCCTTCTCCTGCCGACCACCAGTGTAATGAGATCCTTCTCCCTATGACCACCATTGTACTGGGTCCCTTCTCCCACTGACCACCATTGTCATGGGACCCTTCTCCCATTGACCATCAGTTCAACGGGTCCCTTCTCCCACTGCCCACCAGTACAATAGGTTCCTTCTCCCACTGACCACCAGTGCGATGGGTCCCTTCCTCCACTGACCACCAATGCAATGGGTTCCTTCTCCCACTGACCACCAGTGTAATGAGACCCTTCTCCCTATGACCACCATTGTAATGGGTCCCTTCTCCCACTGATCACCATTGTCATGGGACCCTTCTCCCAGTGGCCACCAGTTTAATGGGACCCATCTCCCACTGACCACCAGTGCAATGGGTCCCTTCTCCCACTGACCACCAGTACAATGGGTCCCTTCTCCCACTGAACACCAGTGCAATGGGTCCCTTCTCCCACTGAACACCAGTACAATGGGTCCCTTCTCTCACTGACCACCAGTGTAATGAGACCATTCTACCACTGAACACCATTGCATTGGGACCCCTCTGCCACTGACCACCAGTGTAATGGCATCCTTTTATACATTAGGTGTGGGTGGAGCCTCCCTCTAATTTCTTAACTAAGGCACCATCCCAAATGTCAATACCAGTATATGTGCAAACTCTCCCACATAAAAGTAGGGAGAACTGATTACAAAATGGACTTTAAATGTGCCCTAGTTGAAAAATGTACCATTACAAACAAATAAAATACAAAAATCTTTATTGTAATGACTGAAATACATTAAAATATAGGCATGGATCGTGACAAAGCAACTGTACTGTAAAACGCGTCGATCCTCTATGCCTGCATATATGTATTTACTATTTATGTAATGCTGACATGGCTTCTGGTGTACTTTGGTGCATACGTTTTAAATGTATTTCAATTATTGTAATAATGGCACCCTTCTCTCTCTCACTATAATAGACCATCACTATAATAGGGCCCCTCTCCCAATGACCACAATTGTAAGGTGGTCCTTTCCCCCACTGACCATCAAAGTGACAGGACCCTTCTCTCCCTGACCATCAATATAATAGGGCCCCTCTCCCAATGACCACAATTGTAAGGTGGTCCTTCTCCCACTGACCATCAAAATAATGGGACCCTTCTCTCCCTGACCATCAATATAATAGGGCCCCTCTCCCAATGACCACAATTGTAAGGTGGTCCTTTCCCCCACTGACCATCAAAGTGACAGGACCCTTCTCTCCCTGACCATCAATATAATAGGGCCCCTCTCCTAATGACCACAATTGTAAGGTGGTCCTTTCCCCCACTGACCACCAAAGTAACGGGACCCTTCTCGCCCTGACCATCAATATAATAGGGCCCCTCTCCCAATGATCACAGTTGTAAGGTGGTCCTTTCTCCCACTGACCACCAAAGTAATGGGACCCTTCTCTCCCTGACCATCAATATAATAGGACCCCTCTTCCAATGACCACAATTGTAAGGTGGTCATTCTCCCACTGACCATCAAAGTAATGACACCCTTCTCTCCCTGACCATCAATATAATAGGGCTCTTCTCCCAATGACCACAGTTGTAAAGTGGTCCTTTCCCCCACTGACCATCAAAGTGACAGGACCCTTCTCTCCCTGACCATCAATATAATTGGGCCCCTCTGCCAATGACCACAATTGTAAGGTGATCCTTCTCCCACTGACCACCAAAGTAACGGGACCCTTCTCTCCCTGACCATCAATATAATAGGGCCCCTCTCCCAATGATCACAGTTGTAAGGTGGTCCCTCTCCCACTGACCCAAGTAAGGGGGGGGGGGGTACTTCATTGACCACCAAATCTAAGGAAGCTCTTCACTGACCACTGTTGCCTGAGCTGTAGATATAGTAAGTTTTAGCAGGGTTTCTGGGAGAACCAAACATGATTTCAAAAGACCCCTCCATGCTAAAAAAATTTTTGAGAAAGGCTGTTTCCAGGTAAGGTGGGTAACTTACCTGGGCCTAACAGCACTGTCATATGGAGAGTCCATAGCCCTGCGTAAGCTTCAGCTCCCATAGGTCATAGCTTACACAGTACCCTCCTTCCAGCGACTGAACAGCAGGGTAGTTAAAGGAAGATAAATCAATGCATACATGAAGGATTACACATAACTGAACCTGTTGCCTTGCATAGAAGCACGGAGATTTACTTTAAGAGTTAGGTTTTTCAAGAATTAAAAGATACTTTCATTGGGCAAAGTATAACAGGGTGTAGACCTCTTTGGATCCTGTCCTCCCACCCAGATGTTCCCAAGAAGCACTTTATGCCCATCATTCCTATTCACCAGCTAGAATACAAGGCCCATGGGGAGAAGCTGAGGGGTGGACTAGACTTGAGAGGAGGAGAAGGATAAGGCTTTTGTCTGTGGGTGCTGTCAACAGTGCCACCATGTACTGGAGACATTTTGGAGCTCTTACCCATGGGGGTAGTGAGGGTATACTCCCTACCAAAAGAAATAGACAGTCTGGTCCACCCCTAAAGGCGATCAGAAATAGAAGGGTCTGGAGTTCAGGAAAAACGTTCTCCAGCAGACTTGAGGCATTATGGAAATGTAAAGAGGTGCCAGCTCATCTCATTCTTATGGGAAACCTTGGGCCATTGAATGGACAAGAAAAACTATGGAAGGTAATACAAAGCAGCCAATATAATTGACAACCAACCTTCTTCACATCTGAAGTCAGGGAAGGCCACATCCTGCAGCGGGATCTGGCGTAGGAAGTCCGGGTTCTGGCAGCGAGGGTTTCCCGTTACTATCTTCCTCCTTCTCAGCCAATCCCCGAGCCAGGCCAGCTGGCAGTTGCAGTTGAAAGGATTGGCCAGCAAGTTTCTGTCAAGATATAGAAGCACTGCATTAATGTAGTACTGGGAATTAATCATTTCTTCATCCACCTCTGAAACAAACAATCTTTAATGAAAGATTTTTAATTAACATCTATCTTATTCTAAAATTACCACAATTAAATTCAATTACGTGTTCATAATTAAAATTCATTGTGAGATCCAGTTTCTGCAATTTAACTGTGTGGATAAGGCTTAACACATATCTTTAGGTCTTTCAATATGCACTGATTCTCTCCTGAGGCTGCTGTTAGGTGCGGGTTGCTGACTGGCAGTTAATTGGAGATGGGGGTTTGTCTGCATACGTAGACTTTCTCCCTATGTACATTTGACTCAAAAAAGAAAGGATGTGAACTACACATGGCCAAGCAGATGTTTCCATTTTTTGTAAAATGCAAGAATTAAAGTTCTATATGTATCCCAGTGCAACTATTCCAACCAATGCATAGAAAAAGCCTAAAAAAAGCGAATCTACTGCAGGTGAAAGGAACTTGATTTGCAGAAGACATGAGCTCAAAAGAAATATTCTGGGCTGATATAACTACCACTTTAGTACCAAAGATGCAGTCCCAAATCTGGGGTGACACCAAATCTTGCTTTCCAATTGTTCAAGCTCTGGAACAGCTTTCCTTCGTTAAACCCTAAGGTTCCTCCAGGAGGGTTCTAGGGTTGCCCTGTGCCATGAGCAATTTCTTCTTCTCAGATACCAATGATCTTTTAACTATCTATAAAGGAGGGTATTCATCCCAATGACTACAGATGAAAGGAGCATTGTTCTTATTGACCATTAAGCTACTGTACCATAAGCTGTAGATATAATGATCAGTAGGAGATCCCTGAGACCAGAAAGTGACTTCAAGGGTTCCTCCACGTAAAAAGCATTGAGAAAGTTTGCTCTAGAACAGCCTTTCTCAACCTTTTTCTTCACCAGATGAACCTTTAAAATTATTTTCATTTTAGAGTTCTGTAGGTATCCCAGTGCACCATTTCTATTATTCCAACCAATACATAGAAACAATTGAGTACTGTCCATAATACTTTTTTTATTTGCACTAACATAATTTTGAGGACAAGCTTTCGGGGAGTGTCCCCTTCTTTTGAACTAAGAATGATAATTCTATTTGACACAAGAGATAATGGCCTGAATTTGGACATGGGATTCCTCAATCATTATCCAATAGTTTTAGGACTATCAACTCAAGCTTGACTCCCTCTGTGATGTGAGTGTTGTCTTCCCCCCCCCCTCTTTGCTTTTGCTGTGTCTTATCTCTAGCCTCTTTTTTTTTCAACTCTTCTAACATTCTACTAAAACTTTGTGATTTGTATAGTACTGCTTGGACCTTGAAGAAGGGGACACTCCCTGAAAGCTTGTCCTCAAAATTATATGTTAGTGCAAATAAAAAAAGTATCACGGACAGTACTCAATTGTTTCTGTCGCAAATGCACTAATACGGCTACAATCACCTCAACCAATACATAGAGAAAGCCTTAAAAAACTCATGTGTATTGCTACTGGATGTCTACTGCTAGAGAAAGTAATTTCGTTCTAACAAAACAAATAGTTAGGGTTTTCTGGGCTGACTTAAATACCACTCTAGTACCAAAGATGTGGTCCCAAATCTGGAGTACCACTAAATCTTTCTCCAAGAATGTTCAGGCTCTAGAACAGCTTTTCTCAACCAGGGTCCCGAGAATCCCTAGGGTTCCTCCAGAGGTTTCTAGGGTTTCCTTGAGCAATGAGCAATTTCTGCCTCTCAGACACCAATGATCTTTTTAATGACTATAGATGTATGGAGCATTGAGAGAAATTGTGCCCCATCGGTGATATCATTGGGAGGAATTGTGCCCCATCATTAGTGTCAGTGGGGGGAATTATGCACCACTGTTGGTATCAGTGGATGAAATAATGCCCCAAGGGCCAATTAAAAGCAACCAAACGGCCACATCTGGCCCTCGGGCCACAGTTTGGAGACCACTGTCCTAGAGGGAAATAGACTGTTCTTTTTGCAAAGGAATTTTTACTTTGCAAGGGGAGTACCACGAAATCGTGCTCCAAGAATGTTCAGGCTCTAGAACAGCTTTTCTCAACCAGGGTCCCGAGAATATTTAGGGTTCCTCCAGAGGTTTCTAGGGTTTCATGAGCAATGAGCAATTTCTGCCTCTCAGACACCAATGATCTTTTTAATGACTATAGATGTATGGAGCATTGTTCTCATTGACCATTAAGCTACTGTACCATGAACTGTAGGTATAACTATTACTAGGAGTTCCCCAAAAGTTCCCCAAGACCTTGTGAGAACAGCCTTTCTCAACAAAAAGTTAGAGCTTCCTGGGTTGACATAAATACCACTTTAGTAACAAGGATGTGATCAAAAATCTGGAGTACCACTAAATCTTGCTTTCTGAATGTTTAGGCTCTGGAACGGCTTTTCTTGACTAGGGTCCCATGAAACCCTAGGGGTCCTCCAGAGGTTGCTAAGGGTTCCTTGAGCAATGAGCAATTTCTGCCTCTTAGGTAAGCAACCACTGACACCACTGAAACTATTTAGCTGTCTGTAAGGAGGGTATTCTTCCCAATGACTACAAACGTAAGAAGCATTTCTCTGTAGATATAACTATTAGCAGGAGTTCTGGGAGACCAGACAGTGATTTCAAGGATTCCTCCATGTTAAAAGCATTGAGAAAGTTTGCTCTAGAACAGCCTTTCTCAACAAAAAGTTAGAGTGTTCTGGGCTGACATAAATACCACTTTAGTAACAAAGATGTGATCCCAAATCTGGAGTACCACTAAATCTTGCTCTCCAAATGTTCAGGACCTGGAACAGCGTTTCTCAACCAGGGTCTCATGGAAACCTAGGGTTCCTCCAGAGGTTGATAGGGGATCCTTAAACAATGAGCAATTTCTGCCTCTCAGACAGACAATCTTCTCAATGAGTATTTTTCCTATTGACCGTTAAGCTACTGTACCATGAGCTGTAAATATAACTGTTACCAGGAGTTCCCCAAGATCAGAAAGTGATTTAAAGGGTTCCTCCATGTTAACAGCATTGAGAAAGTTTGCTCTAGAAGAGCCTTTCTCAACAAAAAGTTAGAGTGTTCTGGGCTGACATAAATACCACTTTAGTAACAAAGATGTGATCCCAAATCTGGAGTGCCACTAAATCTTGCTCTCCAAATGTTCAGGACCTGGAACAGTGTTTCTCAACCAGGGTCTCATGGAAACCTAGGGTTCCTCCAGAGGTTGATAGGGGATCCTTAAGCAATGAGCAATTTCTGCCTCTCAGACAATCTTCTCAATGAGTATTTTTACTATTGACCGTTAAGCTACTGTACCATGAGCTGTAAATATAACTGTTACCAGGAGTTCCCCAAGATCAAAAAGTGATTTCAAGGGTTCCTCCATGTTAACAGCATTGAGAAAGTTTGCTCTAGAAGAGCCTTTCTCAACCTTTTTGCAGCAGAAGAACCCCTAGAATAATTCTCAGGTCTCAAGGAAAAATTTATTAAAACCAATTTATCGGGCAGTCATGAGGGAAAAAGCCCCTTACATTGGTGAATGCCAACAAACAGGTAAAATGATAAATCTGTCATGTAACTATACACAGTAACAACCTGCGCTAGGAGCAACGTGAATGGTAAAGGAGCAGCTGACAAGAACGTTGGAGACAAACAATTAATAATGAATAACAAGATGCAGCGCTAGTTACCAAATAGTCAATATGCTAAGGGAAATATATATTCCCAAGAAAAATAACTGGAATGTCAAAAAAAAAAAGTGCAAGTATTATAAAATGCAGTTCTCAGAATAAGTCCATATGGTGCAGCTGGAAGTCCCAAAATCCATGAGTCGAAAGAGGTAGAAGTGCTTGAGAAAGAAGGAATCCTCCACCATCGACCAGCACACATAGCCTCTTGCTGGAAAGAATGACTGCAAATCAAGCGGCCAAAAAGCGTGTATGATATATTTTGGTGGCTGAGGATCCCAACAGATCTCTTCACCGTTTTCCTTTCTGCTACAGCTTACTCCAAGGCGTAAAGCCAAATGGATGACCTAATAATCCCAGATGTATATTGTAAGAACTAACATAAAGGGAAGAGATATTACAGCACACAACCACTCGCTTTCTTCTTCTTTAAGGGCCTTTTAGCCCAATTTTATTTAAAGGAAAGTTCTGTACAATATGTTTCCACCATCAATACAAATTAAACAAATATTCAGCCTCCTGGCTCTCTCAGGTATACAGCTAGCAGCCCCTTGCTGCTCTGGCTCCAACCTCTCCTAGGTTGAGTCCTCCTGACTCCTGGGCAATGACCTTCTGTCTGCCGGGGTGGAGCCTAGAACCATGGTTTGGCCTCTAGAAAAAGTCCTGCACGTACCTGTGCAATTATTGTGCTGGGGGTTCTGAAAACATGGACCCAGGATTGGAGATTTCATCCCTCCCAATTCACTTTGAAGATTCACTTCCCAAGATTTCTCCAGGCCCCAAGTCCCAAAACGGGCTTTACGAACCAACGAGGAAACTGACAAACCAGTTTCCTCTGCATTAAGTAAACCGCATGGAGCCCCTCAACCTGTAGAGTTGAGAATCCTGGGTTATAGCCTTGATTTAGACCGTGGCAGGATACCGCACTGCCACAATATATACAAAGAAGAGCAGTACCATTCATAGTGTAGTAATTTTGAAAAACCAGAATTTAATAAAAGCATTGCACTTACAAAACAGCGAACAGTGTTCAGCATATGAGATATCAACAGGTGTTTCCAACCCACAAGATGGCCGCGATCCGCGATGCAATGATGTCATACGCCGTTGCTCCACCCAAAAAAAGACGTCATTATGGGCGTTGCCAAAGGCGTTCATAGTGCATTATATATTGGGTGGAGCTACGGCGTATTCTAAGAACTGCATCTTATAATACTTGCACTTTATTTTTTGACATTCAAGTTATTGTTCTAGGGATTATATTGTCCCTTAGCATACTGAATATTTGGTAACTAGCGATAATTCTGTCATACTGATGGTTTTGCCAAATAGCATTTCATTGGAACTATGCAGGCACCATCAAATGGGATATCAATCAGCTACAGCTCAAGGAATCCCCAGCAACTTCGGGAAGAACCAGGGGCGGACTGACAACTCATGGGGCCCCCAGGCAATAGGGGATCATGGGGCCCCTGTGTCCTCGCCAACACTCAAACCACACCCAAAAAAGCCTATGAAAAGGTACCAGGGGCATCTCATGGGGCCCCCTACTGACCCTGAGCCCTCGGGCAGTGCCCCAGCACCCGAAATGGTCAGTCCGCCCCTGGGAGGAACCCTGGTTGAGAATGGCTACGTTACAAACTAATTATAAACTATTGTACTACTAGCATTGGGTGCCCACCCCCCTTGTATATATTGTCCCAGCTAGATAGCCAATGAATCACTTTCACTTGGAAGTCAACTGAGGAAACTGGTTGTGTTTAACCCTTCACTCTTTGGATGTGTGTAATATGTCCAAAGAGCTAATCTAGTTAAAGCCCACCTGTGCCCAGATTATAGATATTAACATATTTATATAATTGTAACTAGCAGTAGAACAGCTTTAAAACAAGTCATCCCTGACCTCAGTAGCTGCATGTACTGTGAATTCATCACATCAAACTCTAAGTGTGGGTCTACGTAGAAGCTGTGCTTTCAGTGTTTCGGCTGAGAACTTTTATACATTTTTCCACAATGCTTGGACCTACGTAAGTGAATGGGGGCATGTTTAAAAGTGCTTTTATTGCTTGTTCAGAGAGACAATTGACTGTGAATAACAGGTTCACTTTGATAGTGTTCTGTGTGTCAAAGACGTTAGCACGCTCTGCAGTTTGCCTGATGATACATATTGTCAGATCTCAAAAATGGCCCCCATGGAAGTTAATGTTCATATGGCTATAAAAACATGGCAAACAAAAGCATCCTTCAAAGAACACTCAATGGACTAATCTGTGAGAACTCTATGTATGGGGTCTATGTTGCCTACTTAGCTAATCCTATTCCTAACCGGTTGCTCTTTCCTTCTTACCTCCAACTAATGTCTACTTACAGCGTGGAGAGAGACTGCAGTGTGTCAAAGGCTCCTGGAGTGATTGTGCTGATCTGATTGTCGTACAGGGACAAGAGGCGAACGTTCCTGAGGCCGGTGAAGCTATCATTGTGCACACAGCTGACCCGGTTATTTCTGAGCATCCTGTGAAGCAGAAATCACAAGCACAGCAATGAGCTTCATTTTGTGAATGACCTGGATTGTAAATTGAATTGAGAGCGACATGCTGCCTTAACCAGAAACAAATTAGCCATTTGCTTCTAATGTTCATTCATGTGCAGTCCTGCCGTGCAGGCTCGCAGTTTAACACACAACTGTCCAGTAATGTCTAGTAGTGGTTAGTCACATTCAACTTGACTTGTTCTGTAATGTTAAAAACATTTATCCAAGCCACTTTGTATTGTTCTGTAATGTTGAAGACGTTTCATAGCTTATCCGAGCCACTTCTTCAGTTCTATTGAAGAAGTGGTTTGGACAGTTGGAACTGAATAAGTTGTTAGGAAAATTAGTTCTAATGGTACAAGCCACTTCTTCATTAGAAATGAAGAAGTGGCTTGAGTAAGCTATTAAATGTCTTCACCAATACAAAACAATAGGAAGTGGCTTGGACATTTGCAACCAAAAAAGTGGCTTGGAAAATTAGAACTGAAGAAGTGGCCTGGACAATTGGAACTGAATAGATTGCTTGGCTAAGCTAGTTAGTGCCTTCAACATGACAGAACAAGAGAAAGTGGCCTGGACAATCAGAATCAAAGAAGTGGGCGGGACAATCAGAACTGAAGAAGTGGCCTGGACAAACAGAATCAAACAAGTGGGCGGGACAATCAGAACTGAAGAAGTGGCCTGGACAAACAGAATCAAAGAAGTGGGCGGGGACAATCAGAACTGAAGAAGTGTCCTGGACAAAGAGAATCAAAGAAGTGGGCGGGACAATCAGAACTGAAGAAGTGGCCTGGACAAAGAGAATCAAAGAAGTGGGCAGGACAATCAGAACTGAAGAAGTGGCCTGGACAATTAGAAACAAAGAAGTGGGCGGGACAATCAGTACTGAAGAAGTGGCCTGGACAATTTGAATCAAAGAAGTGGATGGGACAATCAGAACTGAAGAAGTGGCCTGGACAATTTGAATCAAAGAAGTGGATGGGACAATCAGAACTGAAGAAGTGGCCTGGACAATTAGAACTGAATAGATTGCTTGGATATGCTAGTTAGTGCCTTCAACATTACAGAACAAGAAAAAGTGGCCTGGACAAACAGAATCAAAGAAGTGGATGGGACAATCAGAACTGAGGAAGTGGCCTGGACAATCAGAATCAAAGAAGTGGGCGGGACAATCAGAACTGAAGAAGTGGCCTGGACAATTTGAATCAAAGAAGTGGCCTGGACAATTAGAACTGAAGAAGTGGCCTGGACAATTAGAACTGAAGAAGTGGCCTGGACAATTGGAACTGAATAGATTGCTTGGATAAGCTAGTTAGTGCCTTCAACATTACAGAACAAGAGAAAGTGGCCTGGACAAACAGAATCAAAGAAGTGGGCGGGACAATCAGAACTGAGGAAGTGGCCTGGACAATCAGAATCAAAGAAGTGGATGGGACAATCGGAACTGAAGAAGTGGCCTGGACAAACAGAATCAAAGAAGTGGATGGGACAATCAGAACTGAGGAAGTGGCCTGGACAATCAGAATCAAAGAAGTGGGCGGGACAATCAGAACTGAAGAAGTGGCCTGGACAATTTGAATCAAAGAAGTGGCCTGGACAATTAGAACTGAAGAAGTGGCCTGGACAATTAGAACTGAAGAAGTGGCCTGGACAAACAGAATCAAAGAAGTGGATGGGACAATCAGAACTGAGGAAGTGGCCTGGACAATCAGAATCAAAGAAGTGGGCGGGACAATCAGAACTGAAGAAGTGGCCTGGACAATTTGAATCAAAGAAGTGGCCTGGACAATTAGAACTGAAGAAGTGGCCTGGACAATTAGAACTGAAGAAGTGGCCTGGACAATTGGAACTGAATAGATTGCTTGGATAAGCTAGTTAGTGCCTTCAACATTACAGAACAAGAGAAAGTGGCCTGGACAAACAGAATCAAAGAAGTGGGCGGGACAATCAGAACTGAGGAAGTGGCCTGGACAATCAGAATCAAAGAAGTGGATGGGACAATCGGAACTGAAGAAGTGGCCTGGACAAACAGAATCAAAGAAGTGGATGGGACAATCGGAACTGAAGAAGTGGCCTGGACAATTAGGACTGAATAGATTTCTTGAATAAGCTAGTTAGTGTCTTCAACATTACAGAACAAAAGATAGTGGCCTGGACAAATAGAATCAAAGACGTGGACGGGACAATCAGAACTGAAGAAGTGGCCTTTTTTCAGTCAAGGCACCCTTTAAAATGATGCACAATCTCAAGGTACGCCATTCTGAAATGTAAAAAACAAAACTAATAGTTTTACATAATGCAGAAATATCCACACATGTAGGACACCCAACGTTAGAGGTGATTTATTCCTACACAACACACCTTTGCACACTGATACTGTCTAGTATTCCAGTGTTTCTCTTCTCCCTCAGTTTCTCACTCACACAGAGCTAATGTCACCCCAGTGCTAATGGAAAGGGGCCAGGGTGGGGCAAACAAGGATGCTATGTTGGTGTCCAACATCTTCCTTATCAACTAATGACATCATTGGCGGTAAGGATGCCGGCAGCTAGAAGCGCACAATGAAAACCTGTGGCTTTGTGTAAATAAAAGGCAGGCTTGATCTATCCACTGGCTTGTATCCAATTTTAGGTGTTTTTCCAAGGCACCCCTGAGGAAACCTAAAGGCACCTCAAGATGCATGGGCACCCTGGTTGCAAAAGGCTGGCCTGGACAGATGTACTGGACAATTAGAACTGAAGAAATAGCTTGGATAAGCTAGGAAGCGCCTTCGACATTACAGAACAAGAGGAAGTGGTCTGGACAAATAGAATCAAAGAAGTGGACGGGACAATCAGAAATGAAGAATATGCCCAGACAATTAGAACTGATGAAATTGCTTGGATAGGCTATGAAACACCCTCAATATTACAGAACAGAAAGAAGTGACCTGGGCAAATAGAACTGAAGAACTGGCTTGGACAATTAGAACCGAAGAAGTGGCCTGGGCAATCAGAACCAAACTGGTCTGGACAATCAAAACTGAAAAAGTGGCTTGGGCAATTAGAAACAAAGCAGTGGCATCGACAATTAGAACTGAATAAATTGCTTTGATAAGCAAGGAAGTACCTTCAACATTTCAGAACAAGAGGAAGTGACTTGAACAGATAGAATTGAAGAACTGACCTGGACAATTAGAACTGAAGAAATTGCTTATATAAGCTACGAAGTGCCTTCAACATTACAGAACAAGAGGAAGTTGCCTGGATAAATAGAACTGAAGAAGTGGCTTGGACAATCAGAACAATAAGAAGTGCCTTCAACATTACAAAACAAGAGGAAATGGCCTAAACAAACAGAATTGAAGAGGTGGCCCGGGCAAACGGAACTGAAAAAGTATTCTGGACAGGTAGAACTGAAGAAATAGCTTGCATAAACTAGGAAGTGCCTTCAACATTACAGAACAAGAGGAAGTGGCCTGGACAAATAGAACTGAAGAAGTGGCTTGGACAATTAGATCCAAAGAATTAGCCTGGGCAATGAGCAATAAAAAAGTGGCCTGGACAATTAGAACTGCATAAGTTGCTTAGATAAGCTAGGAAGTGCCTTCAACATTCCAGAACAAGAGGAAATGGCCTGAACAATGGAGTTGTTAAAGTGGCCTGCACAATTAGAACTGAAGAAATTGCTTGGATAAGCTATGAATTGCCTCTCAACATTACAGAACAAGAGGAAGTTGACTGGATAAATAGAACTGAAGAAGTGGCTTGGACAATGAGAAGTGAAGAATAGGCTTGGACAATCATAACTGAAGAAGTGGCCTGGACAATCAGAACAATAAGAAGTGGCTTGGACAATTAGAAGTGAAGAATAGGCTTGGACAATCATAACTGAAGAAGTGGCCCGGATAATTAGAGCTGAAGATTTTGCTTAGATAAGCTTCAAAATGTCTTCAACATTACAGAACAAGCGGAGGTGCTCTAGACAACAAGAACTGAAGAATTGGAGAATTAAAACTGCAGAAGTGACCTGGACAAGCTACAAAACATCTTCAACGCTACAGAACAAGTAAAGCTGAACATGACTAATTACTACTAGAAATACCATGACCTGGAAAAATAAGAACCTTCACAGGCATTTGTTCAGTAATGTATACATGCTAAATATAAGCAGCAGAATACAATTTTCCATCTATAGCATGACCTTCCACGTTTATATTCCATTATGTACAAAACTGGAACTTCTTTATAAGGTCTTGTGTTGATGGTCTTTGGAATTGTGTCGATGGTTTCAGCTTGACATCAGTTTGAGATCATTCAGAATTCATTGACAGGTGCATTTGACCTGCAGTTGATGTCCTGCAGACCTGCAGTTGACCTTCTGGTTATGCAACCCCAATAGACTTGTATGAAAATGGAAAACCCACTTGACTACTGTCAACAAAGGCCCTTAATATTTATAATGAACAAATCATTTTTCTCTACTCACAGCGTCCTCAGCCCTTCCAGACCGCGGAACATGGCACTACGCACTGACTCCAGGTGATTGGCTGTCAGGTGTAATTCGCTCACTGACGCTGCCCCTTTCAAATGCTCCATCTTCAATTTCGGAGATCTTGTTGTTGCTCAGGTTGCTGGAAGACACATTTATACAAATGGTAGAATTAAAGGAGGTCTATACTCAGGCAACCCCATGTAGCTGTGGTGAATCTATTTTTTAAGTATCTCCTGTCTGGCATTTGTGAAAAAATATTAGTAGAGAGAATTAGTAAGCTGCTGTGAGCTTTCAATATATAACCATTCTTTCTTTCGCAAGTATTTTATTAAATGAGATAAAAAGTAACATTAGACATATCAGATGACTAAATAAATGAGGTCTCACATATATTGCATTACTCTGGTTACAGGAGAGCAAAAGAATATACAGAGATAAAACAGAATCCACAGATATATTGGTAATAAAAAGATTACAGGAAGTCTAAGGGGGTCGCTTGTGCCCATCCCCCGCATCCAGATCCCACTGATGTATGAGACTTAGAAATAGGCAATATAGCCATTTTGTTTGCATAAAATCATCCGAAATACCTTATACATACCAGAATTATGGCTATGAGGGTCTTTATCTTTTTAAAGGAAAACTGTCACTCTTGTCTTTCCCTACCGTAGCAGTGGAAAGGCTCACACACTTTGCAACAGGGAAATGCTTACTCCTAGAAGTGAGACTAGCGGTGGGAGTCCAATGGATGCAGCTTCCGGGAAACTAGCCAGCATGGGAATGGAAACAAAGCGGGGAGTATTTCAGCCAGACTTCAGAGGGAAAGAACTTGGTCTACATGTGTGGCATCTACAATAATTAATATCTGATAAGTTTGAAGGTTTCCCTGGCGACCTGGATGGTACTACCCAAGGTAGGGCATGCTCTGAGCTCAGTGCAGGTGTAAAGTTGAGGAAAGCCAAGGCAAACCTATGGCTAGGTTATTAGAATCATCCAATTCCACAGATACCCAGTGTTTAGCAGCCCAGTTACAGCAGTCTGCTATTCTGGCTACAGGGGATGCTTGACAGTATGGAGTATTCAGTAGGCCCATGCCTCCCCTCAGTTTAGAAAAATATAGAAGATGCATCTTTAACCTGGGTATTTTATCAGTTATCAATATTTAAAATCTGATTAATTTATATGAACCTAATGGGGTCCCTAGTCTGCATGGTGACTTTATTGGAAAAGGTTATCCTTTAAAGGGGGAACCTCACTACCCCCTCCCTTCTATTTTTACCCCCTCTTGTACCTCTATAGCAGGGTTTTGCACAGAAAACATATACATCCAGCTATCCAGTATTGTTCTTTAGGGATCTGCTCCTCAACACCAAGATCTGAGCTGCCATCTTCTTCTGACATCATCGGGGAGGGGGGTTTTGGTCTTTTGTAATTGTCCTAGTTCCTGCAGCTGCCCCCTGAAGCGGCTGGCTTTAAAAACCAGGAAGAGACAGCCTCCCAAATTATGCAATTCCGAGCATGTGCAGAAGAGTACCCCGCACCCTCCTGTGATGGATGATGTGTGCATCCCATGAGCCTGCGAGCAATGTACGAAGAGAATGCAGGAAGTGTTGGAAGGCGGCCCCCAAAAAAATACCCAAGTAAGTAATAAAAAATATCTAAATGGTACAGAGGAAAGAGAAAGTGGTTGGGTAGGGTGAAGGTCTATTTAATGCACCTATAAACTGCATATATCTTGGAAGTATAACTTATGTAGCACCCTCCTACTTAGGCCGCTAGGCAAATTTAGTTTTTGGCTCCTTCAGTAATCAAGGAAGCAGGAGATTGTTTTGGCTGATCTGTTCAGGGTTTCACAGGCTGGGAGTTTGATTGCTTCCGTCTGCCTCTAGAAGAAGTTTCTAGTGCTTAGGGAGGTAGAATTCAAATGGCCAGCCTGAATATTGATCAGGTCTAGCCAATCCTTGGGGAGCTGCACCCAGATGGTGGTTGGGCAACTGATAAATAGTCTGGAGCCCTGAAAAGATTTCCCCCAGCAAGTAGAATTCCAAGCCTCAGGAGGCTATTGCCCCTGAGGCAGCCTATGGATTGTGTCCCCCAGAATTGATTCCTGATGACTGTGAGCTTTTGTGATATAAATGACAGAGGTGGCTTGGTCTGAGACTGTTCTCAGAGGGTTCCAGATACTGGACATTCACAGCAGTGTCCAGGACCTTGAGCTTAGAGAAGAGTGTCCTCCTGTACTGTGCAGTGTTCCTGAGATTGTACTGGATATCAATAGCTGTGCAGTGGTGCAGGGTAGCCACAGACATCATGGTCTTGGATTGTCCAATATTCACAGTTCCTCAAGGAGAAGATTGTTCTCCCTCTGCTGGTTGCTAATCTTTTTGACGTATCCCATGTATTGTTTGGGAAAGAACCAGGTAATAACTGAGGTAGTGGTACACTTACATCTTCTTGAGGTGTGGAAGTTTCTTGAAGAGACCAGTAGTTTCCAGATTTGAGATCTCATTATTGTTCAGACGCCTAGGTCAGAATACAAAATACTGTGTTATCCAATAGTACATTAGGAGATAAAAGCATGAATAAATAAATACAGGGCTGGCTCCCTCCCCTCCATTTTAAAATACTCGGAAGCTTGAGAGACAATTATCACCTGTTTTTCCCAGTGGAGAGTAGACAATATGGAGACATCAACAATAACTTTGTGCCTTCATTTCCCTTCTACATAATGCAGAAAGGCACACCAGCTTCCATACAGCAATCAACTACAGTTTCTCCATAGGATTTCAGTTTTCTTTGGGTTTCTATGACACGTGTAGAGGGAATGTGGTCACACACCCCAAGAACCAAGACTGAAATCTATGCTTGAGTGGATGTACAATGCAACCCACAGGAGTTGAGTATTCTTCAGATCTCTATGACAACATGTGTACAGGAAATGTGGTCAAACACCCAGGAACCTGAAATCTCTGTTTGAGTGAACGTATGATGCAACCCACAGGAGTTGAGTTTTCTTTGGGTTTCTATGACACATGTAGAAGAAATTATTATACAAGATTTACCGTATTTTTCGCACCATAAGACGCACTTTTTTCCCCCAAAAAAGGGGGGAAAATGTCAGTGCGTCTTATGGAGCGAATATGGAGCGGCCGGTCCGGTATTTCCACTGCCGCCGTGTCAGAATACCGGGCCGGCCGCTCAGCTCTACAGCGGGACCTTCTAGAGATGACTGCTGACCTTTGGGGAGGGGGGGGGAGCGGGTACCTGAATTTGACAGATACCCGCTCCCACTTCCGTGGAGTTGTTCTTTCATCTTACCCGTTCCTCTATCCAGCGGCGCGGTCTTCCCGGCTTCTGTAGTGTGGGCATGACAGCCGGGTGCCAAGTGCGCATGCGCAGGAAGCAGTGCTTTTTGTGAATGGTAAGGCGGCACCTGGGACACATGACAGATCCCAGAAGCCGCCGGACCAATCACAAAGCGCAAGTGCTTCTCGCTCATGCGCACTGGGCACCCGGCTGTCATGCCGAGCGCCATTACAGAAGCCGGGAAGACAGCGCTCCGCTGGATAGAGGAACAGGTAAGATGAAAGAACAACTCCGCGGAAGTGGGAGAGGGTATCTGTCAAATTCAGGTACCTCCCCCTCCTCCCCAAAGGTCAGCAGTCATCCCCTGTACTATCCACAGTCTCTGGTCATCCCTGTGCTGTCCGCAGTCTCTGGTCATCCCTGTGCTGTCCGCAGTCTCTGGTCATCCCTGTGCTCTCCGCAGTCTCTGGTCATCCCTGTGCTCTCCGCAGTCTCTGGTCATCTCCTGTACTGTGTCCGCAGTCTCTGGTCATCTCCTGTACTGTGTCCGCAGTCTCTGGTCATCTCCTGTACTGTGTCCGCAGTCTCTGGTCATCTCCTGTACTGTGTCCGCAGTCTCTGGTCATCCCTGTACTGTGTCCGCAGTCTCTGGTCATCCCCTGCACTGTGTCCGCAGTCTCTGGTCATCTGTCTCTGGTCATCTCCTGTACTATGTCTGCAGTCTCCGGTCATCTCCTGTACTATGTCTGCAGTCTCCGGTCATCTCCTGTACTGTGTCCGCAGTCTCTGGTCATCTCCTGTACTATGTCCGCAGTCTCTGGTCATCTCCTGTACTGTGTCCGCAGTCTCTGGTCATCTCCTGTACTGTGTCCGCAGTCCATTAGTTCAGAATTTTTTTTTCCTGTTTTCTGCCTCTAAAACCTAGGTGCGTCTTATGGAGCGAAAAATACGGTATATAGCGCCAACAGTTTGCGCAGTGCTTTACAATGTGAGGGCAAACAGTACAGTTACAATACAATTCAATACAGGAGGAATCAGAAGGCCCTGCTTGTCAGAGCTTACAATCTAAAATATGGTTAAACACCCAAGAACAAAAACTGAAATCTCTGCTTGAGTGGATGGACAATGCAACCCATAGAAGTTGAGTTTTCTTTGGGTATGACATGTGTAAAGGATATGTGGTCCCACACCCAAGAACCAAGACTGAAATCTCTGCTTAACTGGATGTACGATGGAACCGATAGGAGTTGAGTTTTCTATAACGTGTCAAAGGAAATGTGGTCACACATCCGAGAACCAAGACTGAAATCTCTGCTTGACTGGATGTACGATGCAACCGACAGGAGTTGAGTTTTCTATAACGTGTCAAAGGAAATGTGGTCCCACACCCAAGAACCAAGACTGACTGGCTGGGCCAGACCGCAGAGAGTGGAGGAGTGAGGAGGAATTGCTGAAGTCTGACACCACTGACAAGCAGGACTGATAATACTGCGAGCAGACGGACCCGAGTGCTGTCATCACACAGGGGCCCCTCTGTAGAAAGACTATCCTGACCGAGGCCACGGATCGGGTGAGAGAGCTCTATACTCAAATCACTTAAGTTGCAAATGACATTGCTAAGTTCAGATACTTTCTTCTCAGTTCAGCATCCTTTGTTTCACCAGTTATTGCGTTAAGGCCTAGATAGGCAGGCCAATTCAACCTTGTGACCTACTAATTA